AATTATTTCATAAAAATAAAATAAAATAAAATAAAATATAAAATAACAAAAAAAAAATTGTTTGGAATCGCTCGGAGTGGGGACCGAACCTGGGTGCTATCGCGTTTACTACTTCAACAACAAAATAAAACTTATAACCTTATTGTACCATTTTAAAACCGCGTTCTCTTCATTTTAAAGAAAAAATTCAGTTTTTTCCACAAAATGCCCTTTAAGTTGACTATGAAAGAGTTAAAATGGTGATTACAATAAAACGCAATTTTAATCGTTAAAACCTTTTTCTAACTTCTCTGTGACTACAGACCATTATCTTTTATAGATAGTATAAAGGAAAGTCGAGATATTTTGACCACGCTAATCTGAAAAAGTACTGAACACGTTTAGGCGACATATTTTTAAGTTTAATCTATATCAAATTATAAGATCCGTACTGTTCGTTGGATTCCAAGAAATGAGGTGTCAAATAAAAGGACTCGGCTTTTATTGTTCAATAATATATTACCGCGTATCAGAAAAATGCAAAACCGCGTATGTGAAGTTGTAGAAATAATTTTGTGGAGCGCAAAAACACTCATATTTCAAATTGGTTCTCTCTTTTATAAAGCAATCCCATTTGTGGATAGTATATTTCAGGACGAATGGATAAGGATTGAGTCAAGAGGTTGTGTGAGCGAATCCAATTTTTGGCAGCCAATGACAGTTACGCGGTTTTGCAGAATGACGATACGCGGTTTTGTACTTTAAACGATGCATAGTTTTTTCTGGTCGTTAATGAATAGCCTTTAGCTGCGTTGTCGTTAGATATATAAGGAAGATGTGGTTTTAAAACAGGGCTTATCGCAGTCACGGTTGGGATAAAATCAACCAAATAAAATCTGAAGAAAAATCAACCAAATTAAAAAAAAAACAATTTGTTATCCACGTATCTATTACAAAACGCAAAACTTATTTCAAAAAACAAAATTTCAACAATTTTATTGAGCTTGACGTCGGGTCTTTTTAATGAAAATTTTGTGGAAAAACATCACTAATTTACATTATGGTAGAATTTATAGCTGCTATGTCGAAGTCAAAAATTATTGAAATACTTGTGCGTTCCATCACAAATGAACTTTTTATATGCGCATATAAAACATGTTAAATTAGGGTTCTGCATCTAAAGTGATAAAGGGATAAATTGCTTTATTTCATGAACGCACCTTGGTAAATGATTCCATAAAACTGTTTATTATTTAACTTATATGGCTAGTTACTTTTCATTTTTACCGCGTCCATTGTGTTCATTTGCTTTTATGTGTTCCTAGCAAAAGCGGCTGCCTGGCAACCTGTAAGGACCAATTTTGCTGCAATTTATACATTTCTGTAACAAAGTCGTTTGAGAAAGTGATAAACTTTGGTTTAATAGCTTACATACAAAGTTTGACAGTTTATTTATCAAAATGATAATTTTATCACTTTATCAAGTTTATTAAGAGTTTATCACTTTTGATGAAGACCCCTATTAAAAATAGTAATTTGAAAAATTCATTTATTCATTTATGGCATTCAGTGTGCAATAATACGGCTAGTAAAGAAAAAATTTGCTAATTTCTAACTAAAAAAAGAAAAACAACAACCAAACCAGAGAAAGTCTACCAAACAATCAAATTAGAAAAAATACAGAAAAACAGCCAAGTTTGGTTGGAAACAACCAACAGTGGCAACCGTGATCACAGTCGATGTTTGGATAACTGAATTTTTCCATTTGAATGCAGTAAGTCTGGTTTTCCTCTGCTCTTCACAGTACTTTTAAGGCCGCCAAAATAATTGCAAGCACTTTAGGGGGTACAGAGTGAATGTGCTACTTATTATAGTGACCACTTGCGGCTTCTGAAACTAGCATTATTAAGCAACTAGAATGGGTAAAAAGTGTCTTTGCCTCAGTTACATAACAGCAAAGATAATTGACCAAATAACTAGTTTGTGCAAATGATGTAAGAAATATTATTGTCCGCAAAACGACTTCATATGCATGCATGTAGCATTCATTGAGGTGGCTGTAAGGATGCATTATTTTATGAAAAAACTCTAAACAAACATTTCTCGCAAAGCTTAACGACCGAATTTTTTCATCGTTGGCCTATCAACAATTGGAAATCGTTAGATATTTTTTTTCTTAAATCGGAATTTTTAAGCAATATAATTATTTTGTGCCTATACATATGTACGTATATATGCATATTTATGTTTAAAATACTTGTATACGAAATAACTCCTCTCTCATTATTATTAACTCAATACGCAGCATTGCATGAGTTCAAAACCACTACCAATGTGGCATTTGTGGGATTTTCGTTGCTTCATTATTAGGGGTTTCGTATGTAGCTTTTCACGCTTATAAAGTATCCGGTAAAGAAGAAAAACGAATAGTGAAAAACGCAGCGTAAAACCCTGGAAACTAATTAAATGAGCATCATACGCCCCGGTGCACTTGACTTTGCCAACGCTCACTACCGAAGTGCAGAATGCAGAGTGCAGAAAACGCCAGAGTGTGGCGAATGAATGGCGTACTGGTTTTGGTATTGTAAAGTTGTTCAGCATGCAGAAAAACTGTGGCAAACTAAATTTGTGAAAAAGTGAAATTAAAAAAATGTAAAAAAAAGTTAAATTGAATGAAAACCTGAGAGTGCGGCAATTTTATACATTCGAGCAGAGGTGCTTTTACAAGGAGGAGAGGTAACTTTTAAGAGGAGTTTCAACGAAACTACCGTTCAACGTATTTGCCAAATTTTTTCATTCCAATTGGTTTTTTTTTCTGTTGAAGGTTTATACCAACGACAATTTGGAATTAATAAGGTTGCCAACTATCTGGCAGTTAACAATATTAAAAAATCGACGTGTCTAAGGAAATGCTTTTGGAAAAACTTTACTGCACACCTATTCTTATATAGGGTTACCGCTTATCTAGAATAAGAAAATAGCTTAAAATGCACGTAAGTTAAGTGAAATATTATATGCGCATTAAACAAAAGCTGTTTGAAATAGCTTCAATGCATACTCATTTATAGAGAGAGCTGCTATCTATGTAAAAAGTTGAATTGAGTTGAATACGTAATTTAGGTAAAATGTACCAAGCCTAGATTGCCTGCACTCGTTTCACTGAGTGTATGAAATTTCTGCGTAAATCCTTAGGTGTAATTTATTTCAATAAAACTCAACATAGGACATTTTCAAATTTGTTTAACGCCTTAAAAACATTTTCCAACTAAAACTTTACTTAACCTCTATTTTGTAATATCTTTTTAATTAATTTATTCCCTGAATTCAAGTCAAATTTGAGATTTTAAACAGGCGGCACCTTAATCGATTTCACTTAATACTGTAATAATTCATTAAATTATTTACTAATTCAACTTTTTAAACAGGTGGCAACATGGGGTGCTCAAGACCACTTCGAATCATACCCATTTGTAATAATTCATTTCACTTAACAAATAATTTTAGTTGAATTTAGTTTAAAAAAGAGGTGGCAACCTTCTTCAAACACCTCAGAAAAAATACATGTTCTAACTAAAGATGTCTAAAAACCATTGCGTTTGACACTTAAGCTTGTGTAAAATACTTATTTTCAGGCAGGTGGCAGTCCTCTTCAAAATTTTTTAAAACTAAAACCTTATTTAACCTTATTTTTTATCTGACACCCATATTGTGATATGTATTCCAAATTACCTAATTACCTTAATTCAAAGTAAATTTGATTTGGCAACCTTCCTATAAATCGCTTAGAAAGAAGGCTTTGCAAAGTAATTTCGATTGATACCCATAGTGTAACAACCTATTTATGTAAATTAATTGAATTCAATTTTTAAACAGGTGGCAACTTTTGTAAATGTTTAAACTAAAGATTTCTTAAAAATCTTTCGTTTGTCACCCATACTTTAATTTTGCAAATAGCTTGCGAATAATGAATTTAAATTTGACTTTCCAATCAGGTGGCACCCCTTTTCGAATTATTTTCAAACTACAACATTTTGAAGACTCTTTTGTCTTACACCCATATCGTCAAAAAACTTTCAAATAAATACATAATTCCCTTAATTCAAGTTTAATTTGATTTTTTTGCTCTCCTACTTGACTAAATATCTCCATACTAAGTTCCAGTTCCACAAATACTTCCGGAGATATGCATTATGGAAAATTTCCTTTGTATAGATGGTGCCACGTCTCCTTGTCTAATCGAGATAAAAGCTATCCTATGTTTCTAGTTGGGCTAAATGAGATGATGGTCGATGTGTAGCAGTGCGCACCACCATTCCGGAGAGCCTGGGTTAGAGTTCAGTTTCCGACCAACATCAAAAAATAAAACATAAAAAAAAGTTTTTTCGCCCCTCGGCAGGCAATGGCAACCTTTCGAGTATTTTGCCATGAAAACCAGCTACTCATAAAAAGACAATCGCCGTTCGGAGTCGGCGTAAAACTGTTGGTTGTAATGAGCCTCTTTGTAGCCAAACAAAGCTGTTGCGTTCGCGTTATGGGAAGAACTAAGTCGGGGCGAGACCCTTGATTAAACCAGCTAGCAGCTGGCTGGGGGGTTCTTGACATAACTCCTTTCAGTACCCATTACAGAAACATTGATTTAAGTGCCTCTTATTATTCTACTAATTCGAACGAAAAATTTAAAGAGTGCTCACATAAAAAAAAAAACTAACTACCCGGATTTTACTTATTCGTCCAAGTCAAGGAGGATTCAGTTCAGCATATATTTGAGTTAAAAACTTGTTTGTCGCGAGGCTAAAAGCAAACAATTGAGGTTGCTAGAGTTAACAGACTGATGCTCGGAGTTCGCTGGTCTGGAGATGGACTAGACGAGGATTCCTTTAAAATAGACAAGGCAATCAATTCCCGCCAGAACCCGGCTTTTAAGTTGAATGAAAGCAAAAGCTATAATTGAATTAATGGTTATCATAAGATTTATGGTATTGCATTTCTTAATGCAAGAGCTTATTTTTTCTTTTACTTACAATATTTCCGCTTTCGATACACCAATCTTCTTGTCGCATTTGGAGTCAGTGGTAAAAATCGGAGGAAAATCTCAGCTCAGCACTAACATTTTGTGTAAACGCCAATCTATTGTTATGATTATAATTGTAGACGAGCTTATCCTTGGACTCGTGAATGCGATTATAGAATCGTGGTCGTTTGAAGACAGATGAAGAAGCTTTTCTTGCACCAAACTGCATGAAACCTTCCAGCACGCGGCTGAGAGATGATTCTGCGCTATGATGTTAGCCTGAACTTTATCGTCTCCTAGGAGAATGATTTGAGGAAAGTAACCTCGATTGGCGTGTGGCTGGGGAAAAATACTTGTCTCAACAAAATTCGAGGTACGGGTATATGCTATAACAGCCAAAAGTATAGCCGAGGTGCAATCTCCTAGACCAAGTCTATATGTATAGAAAACGACATTTTCGATGTAAATATGACACCGAAATCTTTCTTTTCATACGTTTTTGTGAGCGTTGTAATCGAAATCAATCGCAACTTTGCGTTTACTGAAAGACATTTAACGGCATTAAATCCAGGTGAAAATCGCCGATCGCAAACTTTGCTCAAATGGCCTCCCTGCACTTGATCCCAGCTACGTACACAGACGATTCAAGAATTGATCAAGTATTCATCACAGCATTTCAGGATGAAATAATCGCAATTTAAAACTGCGCTAAATGAAACCTTGTAACAGGCTTGAAGGGCGCCTTTCCAGTTATCTTCTCAGATAGCCAAACAGCCATTGGGACCCACAGGACGATGAAATCGAAGCTGGGTAGAGACTGCTTTGACACGGTTCAAATTTTGGTATGCTGGGCCATTGTGGAATATAGGAAAGGATGGCGAATAGGCCAGGCTCTTCGGCTAGAAATTACATCAAGTTACTTTCCGGGTACCTGACTGGTCTCAGCCGACTGCGATTCCACTTGCACGACAAAACTTCAAAACATATTCCCTGTTACTGCCCGGCTTTGTCCAGTCAGAGGTTAGGCGATTGTAAAGCTCCATTTGTCGAACCCTTTGTTCTAAAGAATTCGCCAAGGTTCTTTTAGGATTCATTAGCCTAAGGTATCCTGCGCACACTGGATTAAGGACTAACTCTTTAAGACATACAAAAGATGTTTCAGGCAGCGGCGTCTCTTGTTTTATTATATCCAAGTACTAACTAACTTATATACAATATGAAAATTGCATATATAAATATGTATAAATGTACGCTTGCAACAAATTAATTCACTTGAACAACACGTACTTGGTCTCATCTGTTGTGGCACACCACATGCATATTTTCCTATGAAGCTTCTAAAAAATTCATAGCTTCTTTGTTATAACCATTTCACGTATACGTAACCAGTGCCGCATAATGAAAATAAAATAGAAAAATTCGTGACACAGAAAATACTGCCAATTTCTCTAATATATATGCGCTGATTTTTGGTAGTTTTAGTCTTTGTACAGGTTTTCTGAGAATTAAAGATTTACAAAAAAATCAATGGGGAAAAAATTAACCCAATTAAATTGTAAGGGTATGGAATATGTATTGTTCCCATGCCCACGATGTCTGTTAATCACTTCGTTGGCATTGCTTTACGCCCGCTTAGCAAGCAAGGATAAGAACAAATTTTATGTACATTATGCCTAAAGTTTTATACATCATTTTTAATGCCTCCAGCTTGGCGTCGTTTGGTGCCTTTTATTGTTGATATCTTGTTTTAGTTACCAATTAAGGTCATAAATCATTTAATTAGAAATATAAAAAAATGCATACGAAAAAAGTAATTTTGTACCGTTATTATTTCTAACTTTTCTTGGCAAATTCAACAATAATAAAAGCACATAGTCCATCAAGAGTAATAAACGCAAAATAAACACGAAATAAGAGCACCTAGATAGCACTAAATATTTCCGTTTCTTGAAAACTCTTACTAAGTACTTCTTTGTTGGCGATCATCTTTAATCGTAGTATACAGTTCTCAAGAAAATCGATTAATTCATATAAAACTACTGTCAAGAAATGGACAAGAAAGTTTCTTTCATCAAAGCTTCTTAAATCAGTTCATAGCTCTAAAGCAAAAAAAGGTTCCTACAAAAATACACTCCGCTTCACTTGAATAGGTACACAACTTTTATTCAAGATCCGAGCTTATCTCGGGGCTTGTGTGCATCGGAGAAGCCTCGTTTAATCTCATTTTGAAGAATGAAGATTGCGAAGAATATATCAGCCCCGTCTGCTCAATGAGAGCAAATACTTGGATAGACCTTTTGAGGCTGAGGAAAACATAAGTTAAGCAACATAAAAAAATCACGCAATTTCTGGAAGTGCTATAATGGGTTAGGGGCCAAAGAATATGTCCTCTGATCCCTCTCAAGCCAAATTGTGAATTCTCATCGGCAGGCACTCCATAGCTGCTTGGATTGAAGAGTAAAATAAGTTCGTTTTAATAATAGTAGATTGGCGCGTAAACAATATATTAATGTTAGGCCAAGCTTCTCCATCGATTTGTGGCGTGCGCCTTGATGTTGTCACAAAAAAGGAAGGGACCTACAGCTTTACGCCACCTCCGAATGGCGACTGTGTTTTTATGAGAAGCTGTTTTTCACGGCAGAAATAAATTCGGAAGTTTGCAATTGCTTGCCGAGGGGCGACCACTATTAGCAAAAAGTTGTTTATTTTTATTTTTTGATGTTAGTCGGAAACTGGTCTCGATCCCAGGCGCTGTGGAATGGTAGTGCGCTCTTCTAACCATTCTATATGTAGCTTTTTAAATCTGAACATTTCAACCATCTCCGGTTTGCTCTCATATCTACAAATTTCGAAGTAGAGTTTGCAGGCCATGCCAAGCTCACCTCAGTGAACAGAAGAAAACAATACCATTCAATTAATGTTAAGATCCGTCGTGAATTATGTTTACATTTACTATTATTGTTCCTAGTTTCTTGTTTCTTCGCCATTTTCATACCTGTAAATAGAAAAGTAATAAATTTATTAGGTCTTTACCTTACACAAAAAAAGCGTATTTTTTAGATTAACTGGTTCAAGTATTGCAATAACTAGTTGATGATGTTATAGAAATACAAGTTTAATTTAAAAAGAAAAAATTTATGAGACTACATAACTTTAGAAAATTTACTTTATTAGAAGGATAATCGTATGTCAACACTATTTGAATATAATTTGAAGCACCGCGGCTGACTCGATGTGAGGCATTCTGGAAGTTAATTTTTCGACCACATTTTCCAGCATTTAGGTACCGTTTCTGGGGAGTTCTTTCTTCCAAACCATAAACAATTTCTAGTTCATTGCAGTAGTTATTCAAATATATAAAAACAAGTCTCTAAAGTACATAATTCCTACCATTTTTGACTCCTTTTATCTACATATCGTCGCTCCCAACGAAGAGTAGCACATCTCAAATTACCGTGGAAGACTAGCACGTTTCACTATTCGCGCCGAAGACTAGCACATTTCATTATTCGCGTCGAAAAGTAGCACATTTCAGATTCTCGCGTGGAAGACTAGCACATTTCACTAATCGCGTGGAAGACTAGCACATTTCAGATTTTTGCGTGGAAGACTAGCAC